TCTTCTGCTGAGGAAAATGTTAGAATAGCTTAATTCAGTATCTCTTTGATTTCTTCATATCTAACTGTTGAATTACCTCGATGGTCACTTGATAAAAGTAACAACTTTCTGTGGATTAGCAAAAAGGATTAAATCAGATTTTTATAAATTTTCAGGAGTTTAATTTGTAGGGATTTGAGTTGTTTCAGGTTTCATCATGGATTTCTGGAAAGCTGTTTCGTCCTAGTTTGGGGCTCATCGGCAGTACTCAACCACCACCGGAGTTCGAACCCCCAACACTTCAGTTACAAGGCGAACTCATAAACCATCCAGCCGCTGGTACCCAATCCAATGGTGTGCCCATGAATTCCAACTTCTATCGATTTTTTGATTATGCGCGACCACCAGCTAGTGTCACCGGCGGTGAGTATTTGTCCTCACCTCACTTGTAACAAAGTGCCAGACTATTGACTTCTCCCTTAGACATAAACGAGATCTACAAACACTAGTAAGTACTCATGAAGACTGTTGCATTGAGGGGACTCAAATTGAAACGAAGTCAAATGCAAAATACCTCGGTCTAGTTCTATCTTCCGACCTTACTTGAACACCTGATATCCTAACGATTTCTAAGAAAGTGTTCTGTCTTACCTACTACATTAAGAAACTTAGACAATCTGAAATCACCCAACCTCTACTTTTACAATTTGTAAACTCTTGTATCTTACCTATTCTACTTTACTGCTCCCCGTTAGTCTTTCCTGGGCTACTGAAAAAGGACTGTACCATCCTGAGAAGGATGTTGAAGGTAGTTAGTAGGACTAGTGGTGTAAAACTCAGTCAGCTCGTCACTACATTAGTAGAAAGGCATCTGAATACATACGAAAAATGGTCTAAAACACCCTCTCTATTCCCAACTCTCGCCTTGTATCTCATCAGGTAGAACCAGAAATCATTATAAAATAATCTATACTCGTACAAGCAAGTACAGGAACTCAACGATACCATATTAGGCCCGTGTTCTAAGCGACAGAGACAATGTTAAGCGTGAAACCTATGACTTGCTTTGTTATTAACAACATAATTTAGGCTCTTTTATTTCTCTCTTATTTTGTATTCTATAGTGAACTCCTTCTCAAACTTACTTAGCTACCTAAATTATTAACATTGGCTTACTTTTTGTACTTTACTATATTCCTTCTATTTGTGTATTCACTGGTTCCGACCGTATTAGCACTGTGTATTACAAAATTGTCCTGTCATTAACCATCATGTAATTATTAGTTTTATGGTTGTTGTTTTCTTATTTTCTATACTTTTCGGCAATATTAAACTGACAATCATTGGTTGTGAACGCCATTGTCACCAGCTTAAAAATTTTTGTATTATTCAGGATTACTCACACTACCACTACAAACACTGCATTAGATCTGACAATAAAAAACAAAACAACAACCCTGAAATGTTATTTTATGATTGTTTAGAGTTGTTTCAACCAAATTAACTGATATTCTTGGCGATAAACATTCTCAAATATCATTTCATAACTTCTTGTATGACTACAGCTTTACCGTCACCATGCATAACCATATCATAGCTTCCACTACCCAATACTGAGATATTATTATATGATGCTTATTTTCCTTTCTACTTCTTGGTATTTTTTCGCATTTATAATTATTTTTGTGTTTTTCCTGCTTTTTTGTTTTGTTTTTTTTGCTGTTGATGTCTCTAGATTTATTTTTTTGTTAAATGCTCCTTTTAAATGTTTGTAAAATTAGATGCAAATATTGTAGATATGTGCTGAAAATTCCACACTGTACCACTAGTACTGTTTCTGGAATAAAGCAAATTATTATTATTATTAACTCTTCTAACCAGTCACTAGTGAGTATCAGATTAATTTTCATGATTTGGTTTGTAGGGAATTTATTTACCGCAAGTTCCATCATGAGTTGATATCAAGCAGAGAGCCACTGGAAAGCCAGGGAGTAATAGACAACAATTTCGTCACTAGTATGCACCCCCAAGGGTTATGTATTTATTGTAAGCACCAGTGAAGAACACTCAGAAATCGAATTTCCACAGTAATCAAACTAAGTTCTACATTACATAAGAGTCTTTCTTAGTCTCAGTCTTCATATTAGAAAAAACTTTATTCACTCTTAGAAAATTTGAAAAACAGTACCACAAAATGAATAATGTTTTAAATACTAACGTTTAACTTACATAATAGTACCGTATGATGATGACGTAACTGATTACTAATGTTTAAAAACTAGTCTGCTACTCATTATTTACCTGAGATTTCGGTATATTCTGTTGTTGTTGTTTTGTTTTTTTGTTGAAAAAAACAATCTTGGATTGCTTAAGTGTAAAAGTCTGTGGACTATTAAATTCAAAAGCAAATACTCTCATCATTCTCTTTTGATCTTTAGTAGTAATTAATTGACTACTAATACAGCACGTTTAAATTTGCTTCTTAACGCTTAGCGCGCTGTTTATATATTTTCATTCATTCTGTCAGCTGACCACCAACTAACTAACTACTCAAGTTGTCGTGTAGCCAGCCAACTGTGGCGATGAATTCAACTGGTAGTTAGTTACATTTAATGATAAAGGATTCGGGTCAGCATAAGAAAAGAAAACCCCTTGAGAAAACCTATAAATTAGTAAGCTGCGTCGGTGGCATAGCGGTTAGGACGCTCGCCGACCATGCACATGGTGCGGGGTTCGATCCCCGGCCACCGACGCACTCCGACACCTTGCTAAGCCAGAAACAATGCTTATGAAGAGGAAAGGTTGGGCATGAGGCTAGCAACCCCATCCTGTAAAATAAACACTGCTAAAGAAACTTCAAACCACTAGCATGAAGCCCTATAATCCACTGGGCAACGTGAAGGAAAAAAACGCTGAATAATCGAAACATAAATTGACAAATTTCTAAATCCTTCTCAACCTTTAGTGCTATATTTCACTGTGTTGTTGGTTTGCAGCTACAGAGTCACTAAGAACCATGGAGTAGTGGACAATTGTTTTGTTTTAGTTTGCAGTCTATTCATATACCATCCATTAAGGATCGAACTTGAGACCTCAAATTCATGAGGCCAATCTGATGACCTAATGGCTAGCCCATGAATTCTAACCTCTACCAGTTCGCAACATGTATATATAGCGCAACCGCCGCCAAGCATCACCAGGGAGTATTTGTCTTCACACCGAACATGGTGGACTCCACTATTCAGGAGTTCTCACTAGAACTTCGAGAAACTAGCCAGTCATAGTGAGCATTAGATTAATTTTTGAATGCTCAAAGCGAATTTATTCCCAGCTGGAAAATATTCTATTCTTATTTACCATTAAGAGGTGCTTCAAAAGAAATGAATAACCTTCAGTGTGTGTGTTTGGTGGTAAAGATTTGCTCGATTTGAAGGTAGAATTTGTGGTGGATAAAGAATCGTAAATTAAGAGGACTTTTAAAAAGGTTCCCTAACTAATATCATTTCTTAAAGCAATCAGCAGCACAATAAATACTTGTAATATTCTTAGATCAGAAGCCTATATCCTCTCATTCACTTTGGTACCTCTTGTTCTTTTTAAGTGGTAGGAATGAACAGCATATACTTCATTCTACGTATCACTAGAGCATTCCAGTAGGTTAAGACTAACAGTACAAGAATATAGGTTAATAAAGACAAAAGGTTTGGATTTAAAATGGAGAGAGAGATTTTCTTAAGGCTAAAACGACACTCTGTTAGTGAATGCTTCAAAGCAAGACATCGTTGATCAGATAAAGCATCCCCGTGTTAACTGGTTGTGGGGGTAAAAACAATTTACAAGCTTCTACATCACCCAAGTAACTACATTTTAAAATGTATCTCATAAATTTATAGTGTATACATAATGAATTATTATGTAACGTTGGAAACTAAGCATTGGGTGAGAAGAATCAATGAATAATTTCACTGATGTATCGGTGGTTCACTGGTAGAATGCTAACCAGCCACAAAGGAGATCTGGGTTTGAATATCGGTTGACGCATTGCAAAATCTCATCTAGTCGACAGTAAGTGGGTAAAAGAGGGAACTTTGGGTGTAAAGTTGGTAAATCTACCCTGTAAAAACAACACCTCTACTACTACTACTACTGTAACGACAGAAGACAAGGGCCAAGCAACAGATCGTTTATTGAGAAAATCAAGAGGTATTTACAGACTTTTATATACATTACTATTCGTTATTGTTAGCAGAGAAGCAACGTATTCTGACTGGTTGTTTTCTTGCTCAGGGTTATTCTGTCATCTATTTGTGACCGTTTCCTAGAAAGTAAAGCCATATACCGACGAATCTTATTTGCACACGTTAAGTCTTCTGTGATTGGTTGGTGAGTTCCTCAAGGTTAAGCTTCGTTATTATTTTTCCCATGACCCCGATTCGGGGCGTAGTATTGACGTAAATTGTTGTCTACAATTATGGCTAGCAGACAGCTGTCACCACACTACTACTACTACTACTACTACTACTACTACTACTACTACTACTAAAACCTCAAAGCTTAAAGTTAGAAGCTCTGAATTCCACTCGGAACACAAGAAATGATAATAAAAAAGGTATACGATGCCACTAGTGATTTGCTCAAAGTTTTATGAAAATATGAACCAGCAGCAGTCCAGAGTTTTGGCGTTGGCAGTTCAGCAGTAGAACGCTTATCAACAATGCACGTGGTCCAGGGTTTGATCCTCAGTCACCACACTCCTTTTTCCCTCGCCTAGCCTGTAATAAGCCTGGTAAAGAGGGAAGGTTTAACATACAACTAAGCACCACTGCTACTGCAACTTCAAAGGTTATGCCTAAAGCTCTATGTTCCACTTGGAACGTAAAGGAATACCAAAAAAAAAGTGTTAAAAACTAAGTACATGGAATACTGAAATACTGTTCTAAATGATAAGAGATAGCAAAATGGGGGAAACAAACAAATAGACAGACATTGGAAAAAAGATGCTTAAAATGCTTCTAACTTACCGTACTATCTTGACCTTTCTTATTCTGTAATGCCACACAAATTGGTACCTCATCCTTTGTTGCTAATACAGATTGTAGAGGAATTATCACTTGTCCAAGGAATCTAATTGGTAATTGAGCAAAATAAAATTATCAGAGCAAAGCACAGAGAGAGAAAAACATTTCATGATTAAATAAACTTCATTTTATCATTTGGGTTGCAAAATGATATGAGGTGTTGTCAAATTTTAAACTACCAAATGAAAATTTATATGTGTATCTTTTACTGTGAGCTGCGAGTAAATGAATACAGAGATCACCGAAAATACCCATTGAATTATGAAGAAAATAAAAGACAAATTCAGCGGAGAAAATTTTCTTTATCGACGAAATCATCTTCAGAGGTTATACAGTCGTATTTATATTTTTTACCAAAAGTGTATAGTAATCTATTACTGAGTAATAGGGAATGAAATAATCGATATAATTACTCAGAAGTGGCTTTAGAAGCAAAAAAATAAAAGTTGTAAATCACGTAGTACTCAACAGCAAAAAGTTAGAAATTCGATAAGGTTAAAATTGCTATTGAGTGAGAATAAAGTTAGTTGAGTGTCAGTGTAACAAGTTTGAAGAGGGTGTGAAAATATACAAAAGGAACATATGGGAGTAATAATAGTGAATTCATTATTAAAGTAAAAGCAAACTAAAAGTAAAGTTGAAAATTAAAAAGATTAAAATTTTTTACAGGGAACGACTAGTGAAGAGGTTAAGACCAAGGTAGAACAAACTTTTTCTGTATACAGAGTTCGGGGTCGTATTGACGAGTTGCCGGTGCCTCCGCCATACACAAAAGCCGAAACCTGACGCCCTTTGTACCATTTGGCCTCACCTTGTAGATGATCTTGAAAGATGACTCTGGTGGAGCTACGTGGCTTGAGTTCACCAAGTGCTCGAGAATTGAGCTAGTAACTGCCTTGCATTGTCCTTTTGCTAACCATGCCGGATAATGTTCAGAGATGCGTTTGGAAAGTGTGCGCTTGGTGCAGCCAATATAACTAGCTTCACACGAGCAGATGAATTTATAAGCAAACGTTGAGGTGGCCCAAAGTGACAGTCTATCCTTCACACATCTATTGATCATTTGTTGGCTATAGAAATCGATCCGTAGCTCAGCCACAAAGAAGGCTTTCCTCAGTGATCTGAATAAGCGTTTCTTCAGGATCTTGGCAGTGGTACCACCTTTAAATTCAACTCTCATGAGTAGCAGTTTCTTCGACACCGTCTGGGTTCCTTCAGGCTTTTCCCTTGACTTCATGTTTTTCTCGATAAATCATGGAGGATATGAATTCTCTATGAGCCCTTGTCTGAGTCACCCCAGTTCCCCATCGATTGTATCACTGGAATATATCCTTCTTATTCTTGAGGATATGGTGTGGATCAGGTTTCTCTTTCTTCTCAAAGTGACCCAATTATGGTAATTCGTGTACTGACCATTTCGTGTTAGTTTCCTGTAGACCGATCTTTCAAGAGAATCATCAGATATCCTTTCCAGAAAAACATTCAAAAAACGGAATTCCCAATTCATCTCTGATTCCGACGTGAACTGGATGGCATAATGAGTAGTATGTAGCCACTATTTAATTTTTTCTCATGTTGTGGTGCAGTGAGATGCAGATTGATAGGAATCGGCAGAAAATTGAAATCAGCATTCTAAGTCAATGACCCCAGGCGAAGAAGTGTTTATTCCTTAAATCTGGATTTAGTTAACGTCATGGTCTTTTGAAACAATCTCATTGGACAACTCTTCGTCCCCTTGTTTGACCTTAGGCCGATCCCCTACCACTCAGAACAGCTTATTATCCGTTGACCTTGTCAACTTTTAATGTGGTTCAAAATGTAGAAATATGATACTTTTTTCCTTAATAAATATAATTATTTACCAAGTCTCTTATCTTCTGTCGTCATAGTGGTACGACTTTGACTTAGATTGTAAAAGTCTGCTATTCTTCCAAAAGGAATCTTAGGGAAACTCCCTAAATTATCATCTTGTGTCATTAGAATAGCTGGTAAAATTCCTGATATCACTGACTTCATTGTAACTTATTGTGGCTACTTTCATGAAAAAGCTGCTCAACATTATTTCAGTTTCAACATTTCAGCATTATTGAATCTACTGTGCTGTTCCTACAATTCTCACCAATATAGTATATGTGTATGGAAGCAATGTCATTTGGTATAAATAGACAGTTATTAAGTTAAATTGCAACTCTACGCATCATCATCGAACAAAGCATGGAATGGCAATCAAACCTCTACCTCAACTTTATAGACTTTGAGAAGGCCTTCAACAGCGTTGAACGTGAAGTAATTTGGAAACTACTCGAGTACTATGGCGTACTCCAAATATTCATCAACCTTATTCAACAGCTGTAAGACAACGGCACATGTCAAGTGATCCACAACGGAAAACTCAGCGAGGCGTTTGGAGTAAACACAGGAGTCAGACAAGGGTGCTTATTATCACCAATGATATTCCTAATTGTGGTGGACTGGATTATGCTTCAGACAGTGGGAAACGAGAAGACAGGGATATCCTGGACCGAAGTGAAGAACCTAGAAGACCTGGATTTCGCGGATGATTTATGTTTGATGTCACACGAAATCGAAGACTTACAAGAGAAAACCGATAAACTGGTCGAAGAAGCAGCCAGAGAAGACAGGACTCCAGGTGAACATAGACAAGACGGAGGTTATGAAAATAACCAACCAACAACAACAACAACAGCAGCAACATCCAGCGCAAATCAACATCAACGGGAGGGATTTGAAAGAGGTTACTTCATTCACTTATCTAGGAAGCGCTGTCTAAACTACAGGAGGAACGGACGAGGATGTCAAATCGAGAATCAGGAAGGCGAGAAACACATTCATCAACCGGAAACCGATCTGGAAATCTTCGCCACTCAACTCAGCATCAACAACAAAATTCGGATTTTCAATACAAATGTCAAGTCAGTCAGTTCTTCTATACGGATCAGAAACTTGACGGGTCACAAAGAATATTTCCAGCAGCTTGTAGCAGACCTTCATCAACAACTGTCTTCGTTCTATACTGAAGATCAGATGGCTGCCGGAAAGAATCACCAACAAGAAACTATGGAAACAAACAAAACAAGAACCAATCGCTCAACAAATATGCAGGAGAAAGTGGAGATGGATTGGACACTCGCTGAGGAGGCCGCTGGGTGACATCGCGCGTCAGGCCAATGCTCGAGTGGAACCCGAAAGGGAAGCGGCGAGTGGGTCATCGGTGCAAGGGTGACATGGAGGAGATCGTGTGAAGAGGAGTTGAAACAGTATGGATTAACATGGATGCAGGTGAAAAGTACAGCAGAAGACAGAAGCAAGTGGAGACGTGTAGTTGAAGCCCTATGTTCCACTAGGAACCCAAGGGAACAATAATAATAATAAGTTAAAGGAGATATTTTTTTCAAATCAAGGAATATACACATTAGATCATAAGAAATATTAAAAAGACAATTGCAATGAATAAAATTTTCTTTTCGACAAAGTCACTAACTAGGCTGTAAATTGGTGAATTTATAGTAAATGGGTGAGAAAGTTCCAGATCTATTTCCGCTCAAGACAGGAAGTTTGAATAAAAGAATAACAGTGAAAATAGGAATTAAAAGCGTGAAAATAACAGAAATAAACAGGAAGATTTGTTAAGGAAGGTAATAGAATAATCACTATTGAGGGAGTTGACGTTTTATCGTGGCCATGGTAGAGACAAAGGTTGGACGTGTTTCTTATGGAGACATATAGTAGTGGGCTTGGACTTTTGAACTGATGTTGTCCCAGCTCTGTCCAGATGACTTAATTTCACTCCTTTTGAGAAGTTTGGTTGGATCTTGTATATGACTTTGAAGGACTTTTCAAATGAAACTGAATGTCCTACGTTCACCAGATATTCTCTTACCAAAATATATACACACTTGCGTTCTCTCTTTGCTAACCATTGCTGAATAGTGTTCCTGAGCGTGTTTTACAAGCGGATTTATGGTACAGCCAATGTACTCAGCTCCACACGAGCAAGTTTAAGAAGAATCTCCGCTTCAATATCACTTTTAAATTCGAGATTAAGTATCATCATCACCATTTTAGGGAGACGACTTGGACCTTTCTAGACGTTTTCTTTTGGTCTTAGATTCTTGTCTATGAATCGGAGTGAGAAACCACTGTCTATCAAGATTCTTTGGAGATTTCGCAATACTTCTTCAAATATATAACTTTCCCTTTTTTCACAGATGATTTATATGTCCTGAGTAATTCTACCTTTTCTCTAAGGAACATCCAATATTCTACTTATGACTGTATATCGGATGCAATCGAAGAATAGTCCACTGTCCAATAGTAATTTCTGTTTTCGATAGCTTTCTCTGAAGTTATAATAATATGAAATTGTCGTGCATGTGGTCAGTGCGGTCAGATATGATGTAATTTATTCACCGACAAAATCATATGATAGCTGTACCCCAATGAAGATTTGGAGAAATTAGAACAAGTGGGATATTTGTCTTTTGTTCATTAGGTCACTTTTTATGTGTCAATTTTAGGATATGAGGTCCCTGACCATTCATCTCACATACCTGACAAGTATGCAGTGAAAAACTAAGTTCTAGAATGATTATTATTTATTATTATTCCCTTGCGTTCCAAGTGGAACATAGGGCTTCAACAACACATCTCCACTTTCTTCTGTTTTCTGCCGTCCTCTTCAGCTGGGTCCACGTTTGACCAAACTCTCTCATCTCTTCCTCACACGATCTCCTCCATATCACCCTCACACTGACGACCCACTCGTTGCTTCCAATTTGGATTCCACTCGAGGCATTGCCTGGCGTGCGATGTCATTCGGTGGCCTCCTCAATGTATGCTTGATCCATCTCCACTTTCTCCTACATATTTGTTGAGCGATCAGCTCTTGCTTGTTGGTTTGTTTCCATAGTTTCTTGTTGCTTATGCTTTCTGGCCATTTGATCTTCAGTATGGAAGCAGCGAAGGCAGCTGTTGATGAAAGTCTGCAACTGACTGTTGGAAATCCTTTTCGTGACTCACACGCAG